ATTGGCGAGTGATGCGTCGGTGAATTCAGGATGCTTGGTATTGATGTAGGCAAGCTGTATGGCTACCAAATTCTCCACAATTTCATTCGTTGGTTTTAAACGGCTTTTCAACACATTGCTCACCACTTCGTTGATTTTGTCATACAAACGTGGGAACCGCTGCATCTCCTGCTAAACATGCAAACTCGTTTCTCCAGTAATCCGATATCAACAAACACAAGAAAACCATGACTTGCTCCCTAGCTACGTTCAGAAGACAGATCTGTCAAGAATCTTGTCAAATTACTGCTTTAAGCATAGTAGCATTATCCAAGCCATTTTTGAGTGCTACATCTACTTAGCTGCTATGCCCAGGCCATATTTTTTCTCGAATTAAGTTGAAAACAGCTTTTAGTGTCCAGATTACCGGAACCGCCGCGGATATCGATAGGGAAATCCATCGCTGGTGGGATAAAACAGGTCCAGTCATATCTACACCACATGCTTTCAGCCAGTATCTTACGCTTTTTCTACGTCTTTTCGGAAAGTCTTTTATTTCAGGATATTTGCAAGAACAAAGATTAAGCAACAAAATCTGGCAGCAAAAAAAGGTCGAGAAAACCTGCGTATGAATGCCGCAGTGCTGAACAATCCGCTGCAATTCTTCATGCACCAGTTCCACACAACGTAAACTTGGCTCTTCCAACCGACGGATTTGTTTCTTCACTAGCAACTCGAAGCTAACTTCTGGCACGAAAAGAGCCGGCCGGGGACCCTAAATCATTTGTCAGAATAATGTTAAGTATCAGCAAGTTTTTAAGAATGTTATGTAGTCAAACTCCCCACAGTTTTTCAGATAACTTTTGAAGACAATGAAAACGCTTCCAACGATTACTACTGTCGGCAGTGTGAAACTTCCCAATGCTTTTCTCTTCAACAAACAGTAAAATGTGGAAGATCCAGTTTCTCACCGTAGCATTGCGAATGGCTGTAAGTATATCAAGCTGCGTCAGATTATCTAGCGGATTGATCGATTCCAACACGCGACCAAACGTCTCGTGAAATATATAGCAAATTCGAGCACCGCCGCAACTACAATAAAATATTGCCCCATCAAAAATTTGCAGTTGAATAAGGCATTCGTCAAGCAAAGCAATTACGTACTGAGGGCAAAATGGCTATTTCTAATTGCCATGCTAAAACTACCCGTACAAGAAACAGAAGTATACAAAGCAAAGAAAAGATGCAAAATCGAGAGTGTAAAAGTTATTCGTCGAACGCAAAACCTTCTGAAATGCCAGAGAATTTTGCCAAAATGATGCAAGAATTTCTCAAGAGAATAGAGAAGCTAGTTATGGAAAGCGAAAAAATTGATGCCGAAG